TACACTGAAACAATAAATAAATATGTTATTTTTTGAGCAATGCAATTTTCCCTTTTTTGTATATGCTTGGAAGCTGCAGACTCCTGAGGTCATCCCCAGAGCTGTTCATGACTACTGTGTATAAACAGCAAGTTAATTAGCTGGAAATGTCTGCTGAGGTGTCAAGAGGCACATCAGGAGTTTTACACAGACAAAGTGTTGCCTACCTACAACAGGGAAAGCATCTCTGTCAGCACAGGCAGCAGCCAGTATTGTCCCAGCATGAGAAAAGAGCACTGTGAAGCAGCCCATCTGACCACCACGGAATGACAGCATGGGCTTGTTTGGAATCCGACAGACCTTTAACAGAAAGACTCTGGTAAGGCTTTTTGCAGTGAACCCTGTTTTAAGGATACGTCAAATCAATACTTATATTCCTTCTTCTTCCTTCCCTAGACAGTGCTTCCTTGCTGAGTCACTTTGGAAAATACCAGCATGACTGAGTTGTGTAACTCGAGCTGCTGATGCGTTGGCTAAACTTTAGAAGTCATTTTACATTATTTTTATCTGTTACAGTAAATTGGAATTGCATGAGGATGAGCTCACTTCACAGCCTGTATGGACAGTTTATATTTAAACTGTTTCTTATTTTAAACCACATCAGGCTGCATGCTAGTTAAAACAATCTACAACAGTGTTCCACCAACCTGTCCTGGCAGCCGACTCCACCTCAAGATTGGCGGCTTGCTGTCTAGAGGCTGTGTCAGGCTTCTCTTGGTGACCTCATTCTGCAGTTCACTGTAGGAGGTGCTACCTCTCTCCTCCTGCAGGGCCATCATGGACCGAATACTGGGGTCAACCTGCAGAACAAAAACAATCTCAGCTACAACGTATTACTGAATCCATCTGTGGCTTGACTTCAGCGTTACACAAGAATATCTGAAACAACTTTATCTACAGTGTTATTAATATGTTACATGTCAAACATTTGCGTATCTACATACCTATAGTAGAAATGTTAGACATAAGTATTCATAATAAAGATAAACAAATGAATACTTGTTAGCAGCTAACTTACATGCTCCGGAAGTTTAATGCCTTTCACTGTAACATAAAGAGTGGATGCATATTTGTTTCTTGGGTATTTCCTCCACCACTCGACCACCTCAATTGTTTTAGGTTGCCTCTTTGCCCGAAGTGGAGGGCAGAAGAGCTGAAGGCGAAGTTTACTGTCGATATTCAGTACACCATTTGTACCGACAAGCTAAACGATACAGAGAAAATGTGAAATAAGCATTAAAATGAGCAATAAAATATAAATTCAGACTGGACTTTTCCAGGCCAGGTCAAATTTAATACCTTGAGGAATGCCCATGCAATCTTTCTGAATCCTCGCTCATGCTTGTCAACATCAACGTTGGCTCTTGCTTCTTCCATGGTTATGAAGTCAAGGATCTTTACAAAACATTGAAATAAAACCAGTTATTGACAGCTACATTAAAATGGGCCAAATAGGTCTAAATGAAGTGTCTCTTACTTCAAAGAAGAGTATAACTCTGGGGCTTTCGTCATTTTGTTCAACAAAGTAACCAAAGCGTTCATTGAAGATGATCTGTTCCTGCCACTCAGGGATGATTGATTTGTTCTTCTTGAAGTCGAAAGGTTGAGTCATGATGGGGAGAATGTGGTCAACGTTCTCTTGCTCATAAAATGAGGAGACTGGACGATGGCTGTGAAAAACAAGACAAACAAATACTTTTCAAGCAAATACATAAAAATATGGAGACTGTACAGCATGTCTAGATTCAACTAAAACACAAGTAACTATGTTTTAAATGTTACATGTTACAATTCAGTATCCAAAGAGAAAAGTATACCCAGCAATACAACATCAATATCAAGGAAAACACACTGAAAAACAGTGTGTAGGTGTCTGAGAGTGTCCATTCTCACCTGTCTTCCTTCTTCACATACTGTCCACTAGTTTCATCGATAACATGGATCTTCACCATGGGGTGTGAGATCAGTAGGTTGTTCTTGAGGTGATCTGTTCTGTGGATGTACACTCCCAGCACAAGGCTGTCATCAAATGTTGGTTGCTGTGGTACTTCTGCCTCAGTTTCACTCTCTTCTTTGACAACTGAAAAACAGGAAATTAAAAAATATTAAATTCATCAAGATCATACATTTAAATGGAACTTAATGGAAATAAATTAATTCCTGAAAATTAAGATCCAGTTACCATGTTTCTTCTTCTTCTTTTTCTTCTTTCCCGTAGGTTCTGTTTCATTTTCCATATCCGCATCCTGGTCAGCATCTTCATCTTGATCCCTAGTGTACAAAAAGGAATTAAATCATAGTTCAGTATGCTGCTAAAAACCTAACATATAACATATAGCCTTAGTATTAAATGTAAAAAAATAAACCTTTATCATATAAGTAGATATTGTATACACACCCTACTTCTGACTGTGAGATTACAGATTTCAGCTTTTTCTTTTTCTTCTTCCCAACATCATTATTTAGTGTAACATTTTGGGAGACAATACTTTCTTCCTCTGCCTTGACTCTGGTCTTCTTTAAAGTCCTCTCCTCCTTCTGTGCAATCTGCTGTTGGTATTCATGCAGCAGCTTGTCCTCTGCGTCCTCCACCTGACTCTCTGCCTTGGCCTCTGCAGCTCCTTTGTTTTTCCCCTTCTTACTTCTTCGCTTTGGTTCCTTTCCACCATCTACATCATCTGGCTCCAAAGCGATCTCAGACTTGGACGCATCCACGTCCTCCTGGATGTAACTTGAGGTGTCCTGACGTACAGGGAGGGGGGGAAGCTCCCTCTTACTTTTCTTCTTGCCTTTTGAAGTTTGACTCTCATCTTGGTTCCTACTGTTGTTAATATTAATCTTTTCAGCGGTTTCCCTCTCTCTTCGTTTATTCTTGGTGTAGCGAGGGCTGCCCTGTTCGGGGTGATACGTGTTTTGGAGGATGGTCTCATCCTCCTCTGTGTCCTTCTCAAGATTGAGATTCTTTTTTAGATTCTGAAGCTAAAAGAAACAGTGGGAAGGGAGAGCACACCAATGTCAATATATATGTTAATTTCTTTTCATTTAATAAGACCATTTAAATTACTTTGCAGTGTATTTTGGAAGGTGACACAGTAAACAAACCAGGTGTAATTTGAAACACAGTCTTAGTTGTTCTGCTGCGTGTTGTATGCCGAATCGGAGCAGAATGATTCAAATCTTGTTCTTTCCTACAAATATTTCAGCCCTAAACTATCAGATCTTTAAAGCTTGATTGTGATGTTCTCCACCACTGAAGGCAGAAGTACACATATTAGAACACTTACCACAATAGTCTCCTGAGCTTCTGTGTTTTTCTTCTTCACCTTTTTCTTCTCTGATTCGGTGTATTTCTTGAACACTTCATTGAATCTTTCCCGGGTCTTCACCCGGTCTTCACTCTCACCTGTAAAAAGGTTACACTATAAGTAACGGGCAAGTGCGCTGGCTGCATTCAGATCAGGTAGTACTGCATGGAAATCAGGTAATAAATTCTTGTTTCTGTGGCAAGTATAGTACTTACTACATACTTGTACTTGGCTTGAGTTTTTCCATTTTACTTCTACTCTTCTCAATTAAAATGGTGCTCACACTTAAATGCTTAAATGATAGTAATCTACCGACATTATATAGAGTTATAAAATAACATAAGACTGAAATTAGGTTTACTGCATTTTACTTTTGATACTTCAACTATACTAAGATGATATTACTTCTGTACACTTTTTATCGCAGGACTTTTACTTGTAACGAGGCATTTTAACAGTGTGTTATTTCTCCAACCACTGGTGTGTTGAGAGGACAGCAGGACACTCACCTGCTGGCATTATTAGGCGATGTGATGTCTCTCATTCTGAGTGCAAAAGGAGTGTAATCCAGGGAGCAAGGCATTCATTCTAAAAATACAAAACAGGGATAACGTTAACGCTGCACAACAAAATCTCTGCTGGATCATACTTCGCTGGATTGTTACGTGAACAACTGGTTCATGCTAGTTTATCATTATGGATGAAAACACTAGAACAAACGTGTTTTATGTGTTATCTGCGTAGCTGTGGCTAAAAACAACCTTCAGGAAAAGCACATTTTGTGAGAAGCTAACAGCTAACCGCTAGTTAGCTTGCTAAGTGCTAACGTAGCTAACCCGGTGGCTTTGTTAACGTTACTTACGTTTGGTACAGTGAGATTGAGTTCCTCCGGCAAACAGTCTGCGCTTCACAATAAACCAAACTTTACATACATGTCTTTTAAAAGCTGGACAGGCGTTAACTGAGGTTAATATAACTGCAGTGATTGCGCAGTCCTCCAACTTCCCCAACGACGCCGACACGGTTACCAAGCCAACAACAACAAGGATGAACGCGAGGGCGGAGCTTGTGACGTAAACAACAGATTGACCAATGACATTCGAGGACAGCAGAATCAAAATTACGTAACTATCTACGTATCTACGTAGCTATCTCTCAGCATAGAGAGTGGGATTAATAATAACATAATCATAGAAAGAAGTAATATAGTAACTAATTAACGTTTATTTTGTTTTTCTCTCTGTCTCTCTCTCTCTCTCCCCAAGAGACAGTTATACATCGTGTAGAGTAGGCTGTAACCCATACAAACAAAAAAAGAGCCTCAATTAATTCATTAATACAACAAAAATAAAAAAATAAACTAAAATAAAAGATATAAGTAAAGGAGAGAAGGGTATATACTTAACAAACAAAACATGAGATATGCATATAAGATACACTACCGAACATGAAGTGATCAGCTCCACTTAAACCATCTACTACACTTAAATACTGTTAACACTAACCAAAAACCTGCTCTCAGGACAGACCGTTTGCCTTTTAATAAGAGTTATGTAAAGAGTCTGAACAATGAAATGTACTGTAACAAAGAAGTGCAATTTACCTTACAGTCACATGACTTTCCAGTAGGCGTGTCTGTGTGCAGGTTGTGTAAAACAGACAGGTGCTGTACCTTCCTGCTGAAAATGTAGTCATGGCTTCTGGCTTCTGTGAAGATTGCAACCGACTGCTCACAGAATTTATTGCTCGTGTGAGGACATTTTGCAGAGAGTTTGAGCAAAAACTAAGGGACATTTTCAGAGAACTTTGTCGGTGCACCTGCTTTAGGACTAGACCTGAAAGGAGATCTCAGGAGTCGCCCTCTGTACATCTTCTGTATGGTAGGAATATTGTAGCTGTTCGTTTTCTTTGTTGTAGACAGCCATGTGAGGGAGTGGAAAAACAACATACAGACTTTATCTGTCCTTTTTTATTTGTGATAAAAGTTCACACAGTTGATATAGGTGTGTCATTTAATTTAGAAGATCAGATTAAGTTATAGTGTCTTTGATTAACTATTATGTTCTATTATTACATAAGTAAAACCCACCAATTGTGTACAAAATCAGAATAAAGCCAACTGTGTTCATTTCAGACTGTTCATTTTAGAATGATCCCTAAAGTTTGGGAATATTCATTATTGTTAATCTGTTTCTCCTCTCAGATGATGAAACCCAGCTCCTTAGTCAGGAACATCTACAAGCGCTGAACAGACTTGCAACCTCAGAAAACATTGATCTACAAATGACTGCAGCCATGTATTATTTACATCTCAGTCATCATTGTGAGTAACAAAGTCAAACAGATTTTTATGTTCCTTCTGACAGACTTCATGATAGCAGTGACTTGCAGATCAGCGGCACATGAATTGAGACTACTCTTGGCATTTCAGGTTCCTCATATCACTCACTTTGCAGATAAGCTCCCTAACGGGTATGACCAGTATCATGCAAATGTTCAACTGTATTCTTTTCCAGTGATGGCAGATAATACCCAGCATGTGTGGGGCTTTAGTGTCATTACAGTATGCAGAAAACATTGATTGTTTTTTTTGTTTTTTTATATCCCACTGTTATATATATACAGTCCTTTACTATGATAAACTGGTAACTCCTGGGGCAGTGGCTCATATAATGTGACTGTAGTACTCGAAGTACGCGTAGTTCAGTTTTCTCTTTTGTCAGATCATTGTATTGATAAGCGTTATGTCCAGTAGTGTGCAAATATTTGACCACATATTGTATTTTGCTTGGACATGGCAGTTACTGTGTTTACTTGGTGGGATATCTCTTTTGGGACTTGCATTTAAAACCACCACCAGTCAAAGATTTCATGTTAATAACTAACTTTTGGCTTTATCTAGTGAGACAGACAGCTAATTTAAATTGTGTTTAACCTGTAGATCATTCTTGGTTGTTCTAAAAATACACAATGAAGAAATTTAACTCACTCATACAGTTCTTCTCCTTCATCCATGGTAATCTTTTGTCTGTTCTTTATTTTATAATTTTTTTTCATTGTTTGTTACAGTGAACTCTCCGTTACCAGATGCCTTCATGGAGCCACTCATGGCCTTACTTTTATCAACTGACCTCGATGTGCAAAAGACTATCTCTCTGTCTTTGGTAAATCTGTTAGTAAAAAATAATGGTAAGATATAAGAATAACAAGGTATTTAAAGAATTTTCCTTTGTTAATTCACAATCCTTAACCTCCCCTCTGTATTTATATTGTTTTAATGGGTCAAATCAATAATGTGTCAGGCATTTGAACTGAAATCACATAGTTTGTGTGAGTCAGATGGTTGTAATTACTGTCCATGAAATCCGATTTCAGCGTGCAAAGAGTTAGTGATTGAAATGGGGATGCTGGTGCCGATACTGGAGTCGTTCCAGTCTGGGGATGCCACCGCTCAGTGTCACTCATGTGCTTGTGTCACCATGCTGGCCTCCTCAGGTTTGTACCGACAGGGAGAACTCTGTCTTATTATAATAGTTGTCACACCTGTTTAGTCAGCGAGTAATTTGCATTTGATGTAACTTTTTCACAGAAAAAGAAACGATAGAAATAAAATAGAGAAAACATAGCAATCAATGGATTTGTGTGTTAGTAATTTGACCACCTATTCATACAGTGTTACAGTAGGCTTTAACAGTGTAAAAGTACTTGTTTTCACCTATTTTTAGAGACTGTTTAACAACATAATAATGTAGTTCTGTCTTGATCAGCTTGAGCTTATGTGTGGGTTTATTTTCTTTCTCTTTATACAGAATCAAACAGGGAAGCCGTCATGGTGGATGGAATCATACCACTGTTGGCTTTGGCAAAATCCTACGACCCACTGGTGCAACAGAACGCAACTTGGGCTCTGTTACATCTCGCACAGTCAGGTGGGATCCTTCAAATCTCAATATTCACACATTTTTCCCAAGAACAGAAGCTGCTGTATTTGTGTTACTTTGCTTGAATATAACACAGAAATATTATTTAAAACTGTCTTTTTTTCCAGATTGGTCAACAAGGATCTTATGTCAGGCAGGAGCCATTCCTGTGCTGGTACTCCTGCTGCAGTCCTCAGATTCAGAGGTTCAGTTTTACAGCTGCACCGCTCTGTGCAACATCGCTGCTGTCCAGGAGCACCATCCAAAGTTACTCAGCATTGGGGGTCATTTTTTGTTAAAGTCTCTTCTCACCCTCATGTCTTCCTCTGTGCAAAAGGTAATTGTTACCTTTAGTAGCTGATAGATGAATTTGAAGGTAAATCATTTAAAACATTTTTTTATTTTTTTCAGAATTCAGCCCAAGCGTGCAGATGCCTCCAAACGCTCTCAAAGAATGGTAATTATAAACCGTGAAACCGGAAATTGACACCATACCCTGTGTCATTTAAACTGTAATTTTTTTTGTGTAGTTCTGATCCAGGAGCAGCTGATGGAGCTTGACTGTGTGTTGCCTCTGAAGGCACTGCTGAAAACCTCTTCTCCTGAGTCAGCCATAACACTACTGTCTACACTGTCTGCACACCCACCAAACAATGTACGATCTCCTACACGAGTTGGTACCTAAATGTGGTGTATTACAGCTGTGCTGTGGTTGGAAAGTATTTAACAATCTGTTTGAACCTTCTTTTTCCTTTCCTGGTCATAATCAATGGATGTCAAAGAAAGTGACAGCAGAAATGAGGCAAGTAATCTGTTCCAATTCCAATATTGATCATATTTACATGGTGGTTTGATTCCAGGACATCCTGGTGAGCGAAGGGCTGTTGGATGAAATCGGTCAGCTGCTTCATCATCACAGATCCAGCTTTGTTATTATCACACATAGCTGCAAGATAATCGCTGACCTCTGTAGCTCCTGCGTGGGTCAGCAGGTATGCCAAGGCTACAATTCATGATTTCATGTCGCATGTCTGTAGTAAATACATGATTTGTTTGTACATGGTGCATGAAATAGATAAACTCCTGATAAAGCCACTTTGAATCCTATTATTGTTTTCTAGGCTGTGATGGAAAGTCCGTGTTTATCAGAACTCCTCTGGGCTCTTCTATCTCCCGCCCTGTCAGATGAGACCATGCTGCATGTGACGTTGCACTTACATCAGCTGATGACCTGGGGTGAGTGACCAGGACATTAATTTGTATTTATCTGCTCTGTTTTGAATGTTGCTGCTCTACTTTTTACCCCCTTTTTTTTATATGAAAAGCATCCACAATCTGTCACTATTTCAGATCCACTCAAGTCTAAATTGTCAGCGACAATAACATCAGAACAAGTTTCAAGACTAGTGAAGTTGTCGGGGCAAATACAAAATCCTGAGTTGTCATACAACAGCTCGGCCATCCTCAGCAAACTAGAAATAACCGGTAATGTTGTTTGCAAGTATTACTCACTGATACAAAAACATCAAATAATCAGTTTCGCTTTATATTGCATATTAAATATTGTTATATTCTGTATGTTTTCACACTGTTCACCCAGGGGAAATGGTCCAGTTGCTGAGACCTCACTATGTTGCCATGTTGGACTACCTGTTGGTGTTCCTCCAAAAGAAAGATGTGAAGTTTCAGCAGCTCTCCATAGTTACACTATTCAACCTCAAGAAAGGTTTGTATTTGTTGTACACCTACTTATTTAGCAACTGAGGGTACTGTAACCATTTCAATGATCTGATAGTATATGTCCCCAAGCAAATCTAAAATAATCAGGCATCATAATTCAGCAGTTCTAAGGATGTTTTTGTCCTTCTTCCTCTGCAGATGGAGACTTTTCATCCCTGTTGGCTGGCAGTGAGTTGGAGATTCAGCTCAGGAAGGTGCATGCGCAGACGGAGGAAACCAGACGGCTGCTGCAAATGATTCAGCCCCTTTCTCCATCTTCTGTTAACCCTTGAAGTTCTCAGTACAAATACTAAGAGATGTGCACAGCGTGGACCGTATGAGGTGTTTACATTCATGCACTGCATGGACAAGCAGCATTTTGATATCGTGTTTGGTGTTTTAATGTGTTTATTTTACATTTTTTATGAGTTTTTATGTTTACAGTCAAGAAATTAAGTGAAAAACAAGGCAGAGATGCGGCATAGTATTACCTTTAATTAAATATGGCATATATTTCAATTTTGTAACAGGTTAACAAGTGATAGGTATAAGCAATACTTAAACTATAAGATCAAATATTGATGATCAGATACATTTGTTTTTATATGATTTTATTGTAATAAACTCACTTAACTTCTACGCCTCAAACTTTGCTTTGTAAAGTGATTGCGCAATATCAAACATAGCAACTGTCAGTGCAATAAACGCTTTGTGCATTGTATTCTCTAAAACAACACCCACAAAACTGAAGCAAAGTCTTTGGAAACTAAGTTCCGTAGCAGCTTTGAAATATGTGATTGCTATATTTCACAAAATCAAAGGGTAAGATAGGGATTTATGTAGGAAGTGAGCTTAAAAACTCTTGTGTTCTTAGCGCAAACGGCCACTTGAGCTATTCCACAGTGACAAAACTGAGGAAGGAAAAGTGCTTAGAATAGCAAGAAATATCAGGAATAAGCAAAAAGCATATGGCTAACATATGTTGTGATTGTTAGAATGGCTATTCCTAGTATTTCACAAAGGCAACACTCTCCATAACTGAAACTGTATTTGCCAGCAAACTATCATTACCACTGTCTACATCTACTGTTTTTTGGATAGTCATTATTAGTTCAGACACCTGCTGTACTGAATAAATTAATAAATAACTTGCCCAGTATTTGTGCCACTTGTTACACACAGAAATGTGACCAAATGCTGACGTCCTCAGTGAGAGGCAAGGCTGTAATTTTACATGCTCTTTCAAGGTGCCAACGGGCAGCAAAATGGCTGTGCTGCAGCAATTCCTGTGTTTCACAGAGAAATCACTGCTCTCCAGTACGGTCTTTGAATGTCTGCCCACTTTGCAGGTGCTCAGATGACCTCTGAAGAATACACAACAGGGAGACAAAAAAAAAGATATCAAATAAAATGTTTCAGAGCAGCTGAAGAGATGAGTAATTTATTATTATTTTTTTTTATTTATTAAGGGATACTGTATATAGAGGAAAAGAAAAGGACACTTAAATTTGCAAACAAGTCATTATTAATGCAATGTTTGGACCTGCAAGCTCTTCGTCAGGGAAAACATGACATTTTTTGCTTTGAATACTGTCGGGTTTTGCCTGACAAAGAGCTGGCTGGTGCTTGGTGTTAATTTCCCACTCTGAGGACAAATGTTCTCAAGTGATCTGCTGGTCGTGTCTCACCTGCTCGTTGGTGGGTCTGGATTTCCTCCAGGCCCGTGAGAGTCCTCAGAGACCTACGTTCTTTGAAGGCCACAACAGGTACCATGTCCTCCTCATTGTTCAGCCCCAGCTGTGAGGTTTTAGTCCCCACTGGCAGTTTGACTGCATCTTCTATAGTGCCATTGTGCACAGGCTCTGTGTTTTCCTTTGGTTGGGCTTCATTTGGCGAGGTCCTCACTGGTACAGATTTCTGTGATAAAGAAGTATTAATCAATTTAGTGAGCTTTTTGGCTTTCAGACATGGAGCTGGTTAGTTATTAGTGGATACTGGATGTGCGTCATAAGAGCCCAGGGGCAATGTACTTCTTAAAAATTGAATTGTAAATCTCACCGTATCTGGAGAATCTGTCCTTCTGGTTCTCCGCATGATCTCCTCAAGTCGCTGGAAAAGAAAACGGCTTTCATTAAAACACTGTCATACTAGACTTTGAAAACATGCAGATTGAGTCTCTTAAATAAGACAGAACATTTGATATTATTCATTTTGATTAACACAGATAATTCATAGTTGTTTACGGATATAGCAATCTAACTTTTTTGTCATGGCAGCGGCTGCCCATGTATATGCAGCGGCCGGTAGCTCCTTCAAACTCGCTATATCTTTACAAAGACCTGCTCCATCACCATCCCCGTGGACCGTCGATGGGCGGACCATGTTCCGAGCCGACAGAGCACAGGTCAAGGAAAGATGGACTTGATGAAGCTTCATGCTAAAATGTAGTCTGGATGAACACTGTTTCTCAAAAGTATTTTGCGACTGCTGTTTACATTCTCCCAAGATGCAAATTCAAAATTCACTGCACAATTATTTCTAACTGTAAATAAATAAATAACGTATTTATTTTATAAAAAAAACCAATATATACATTCTGTCATGTAGCATGAAATAATTACAAGCTTTTTTTGTAGCATGATAAATAAATTTCCTTAATTCCTTTTTATCAAACATTTTCAAACCTTTTTTCTTGCTTGGCGGGCTGCCTCCTCTTTCTGTGCGAGTATTTCTCGCTCTTCCTTCATCTGTTCTGCTTTGGCCTTTTCTTTGGCCTGTTCCTCCTCTCGCTATATTAGACAGAAACACACAAAAACAGGGAAAACAGTAATTGTCCATTAGCAAAAAACCCCAAAAAGCTTCCACAACATTGCCTGTAGGTGCAGATGTGGTTCCTTCATGCACTGAGTAACATTTGCATTTCCCACCTGTTTCTGCAGAAGGGCGGCTTCCTTCATAGCCTGAGCTCTTTCTTCCTCAGCTCGTCTCTGCTCCTCTTCCTCCCTTCTCCTCTTCTCCTCTATGAGACGATGAGCCTCGGCCTGCTGTCGTGCTCGCTCCTCTGTTCTCCTGCGCTCTAGTTCTTCACGACTCCGTCTGAAACATGTCATAAATTGTAATAGAACAGACTTAATGGCCTGCTACTGCACTGTTTCTGTCTCATAGGTGGACATGCTTTTTACCTTTCAGCTTCCTCTCTTTGCAGGCGCTCCTGCTCCTCTTTCTCCCGTTGCAGTCGGGCCTCTCTCCTCTTTTCAGCCAGGAGACGCGAGGCCTCCTCTGGGTCTGTAGTCCCGGCTGAAGGCCTGCACATGACTTCAGGAGGCTGTGGAGCTGGACGAGGAGGCGTCTGGGGAGGACCTGAAGAGAAATAATATCAACTTCAGTATATATCTGAAACACATTAAATACCACTTGAAATACTGCACCTTGTGTGTCTAGCTTACTTCCATCTCCTGCAGTTCTGCTTATAGCTTCTATCTTCTTGTTGGGCGGGTTCAAACATGGAGTCTCTGGTGGGTTTCTGTTCCTCATTTTCTCTTGCTGACCTTCAGCTGGTGTCCTGACAGGCCTTGAGTTACCAGGAGAGAGGGCAGCACTACAAACTGCAACATCTTCCTCAGGGACCGATGGGAGCTCGAGCTGCAGCGGGGTTGAATGTCTGCTGATTGATCTTCGGGGGGTCCTTTAAGATCCAGCAGAAGAGAGCAGATGTCCCACTTTGTTCAGCTTACTGTTACTATGTCATGAATGCACTGTGGACAAACATTTCACCTACCGTTCAGGTGAGGGGGAGGGTGTTCTGCTTTGTGTAACTGTGGCTCGTTTGACACTGGTGTTGACGGCAGGTGATCTAGAATTTGAGCCACTGTTTGAGTTCTTCTTATTAGTGTCTTGCTTTCTCGCTGATTTGATCTAAAACAAAAAGAAAAAAACTAATCAGAATAAAATCTCCGCTTTCAGTACATAAATCTGACAAAATAATTTAAAAAAAGACAGCAGGGTGATCCAAAAAATAATAAGCAAGACAGCATGTATGTAAGACCAAATGCACAGCTACAATTACCTGTGCCAGATTGATGCTTCTGTGCTGGCTGTTGTTGGGACTGGGGGAGGCAGATGGCCTGTGGTGGACTGAACCAGAGTGGTGCTGGGTTTTGTGAGGGGTGGTGGTGGTGGTGGTGGTGGTATTCATGGAGTGGAATGAAACTGCACGGCGACAGATATGGACAACTGAGCCAGTGATTTGTGCCATCATTACGGGAAATTGGGGGGAAATATAGACGTGGTGAAAACAGTAATGGAAATGTGAAGTGGCGCGTGAACAGAGAGGAAAATGAGCAGCGTTAGTAATCAAAGAGCTGAGAAATGTTAGTTGTAGTAGTATCAACAAACCATTAGCATTGCATTGCCATACAATTATAGCAAATGGATTCTGTTATCATGAGGGAGAGAGTACCTTCCTCTCCTGACTGACAACCAGCACTCTTGCTTCTGGCCAGATAAGAGCATGTGGGGGTAAGGAGGCGACTGACCAAGTTCTTCTCCCATGTTGTCAGTGGCAAGCGACGTGGAGCTAGCGTATTGATCAGTTTAAAGTTTGAGAAGTGCAGCAAAAACAAAAGATAAGGAACTCCAGGAATTGTGTTGTGTTAAGAGATGATACAGTATGGGTTAAAATTAGAGAACAGATACTGTTAAATATGGGTTAAAATTAGAGAACAGATTATGTTAAGTATGGTTAAAATTAGTTTAGAAAGATCATGTTAAAAGAGAGCGAAAAAAAGAAAGCACATTCATTTCTACTTACCGTACTTGGTGAGCTTCCTTCCTCTTGAGTTTTGACTGAGGTTCTGTTGGGCCCTTTGGCTCTTCTCCAGTGTCCTACGCACTGCAGATTCATATCGGTCCTTAATTTAAGAAAAGAAAAAAGGGCTTCAGTGTTGATGTTACTCAATCCAGAGCTGTGAAAACATCAGCCTCACTAAAAATACATATTTTTTTGTTTTCCACCATCAAAACTCACTCTGTCCTCTTTCAGTCTCTGCTTGCGCTTCTCTTCCACAGCAGCACGCCTCCTCTCCTCTTTGAGCCTCTGCTCCAGGAGTTTCTTCTTGCGCTGCTGCAGTTGTTGTTCATAGTATCGTCTGGCCCGCTGCTCCCGTTCCACCCTGCTCAGTTCCCGAGAGGCTGGGAGAAAGTAATGAATCAGTTTAAATAGGTGAATCGGTTATGTATGTTAATCTTATAAGAAATTGAGGACAATGCATTACCAGTGTCATGTGAATTGTACCACCGCAGGAGCTCACATACCAAGTAACTTCTGTTGCTCTTCTCTTCTTTCCCGTGCTGCTTTCAGCCTCTCATCAACATTTGGTCCATTAGCCCCTAGAACGGCAAAATAATACTTTGTATGTCACAAATTACATACTATTAGTTATATTAAACATTAAACATCAAGTCAGTCTGTAAAAGAAAAGTCATGCTGAAAGTGGTCGTAGTATCCTATTAATATGACAGCAGCCTCATAAAATGGTGAATGTGAGAGCTGTATCAAACCTGCAGCGGCCCGTGGAGTGGCTGTGTGGCAGATTTGGGCAGCGTTGTTGACAGAGCATGCCGTTTTCTTTGCCTGTGAA